CCCCAAAACCCCAAAACCCCAAAACCCCAAAACCACAATACTATTCTTGCAAAAATATGATTAATAAAAATAGTGTGAAATAAATAAAATCTGAGAAGTTTTACATTGTTTTCAAGAGCAAATATGTCTATTGGAATCATTAGCATCCGTAATTGATTACAAAATTTGATTATTTTTTTCTCTAATGAACTTTCCATTTTCCCATTTGCCTTCTACTCTTTTTCCAGAGGGCCAAATGTATATTCCATTCCCGTGCTTTTTATCATTATAGTATTCTCCTTCAAAGACTCTTCCATCTGGCCAAGAGAAAGTTCCTTTGCCATGCATTTTATTATTCTACCAATCTCCTGAATATTCGGCTCCATCTCCCCAAATAAACTTTCCTTTGCCTGATTTCTTTCCTTACTAATACATTCCCATAAAATAACTTCCATCTTTCCATTTTTCTATGCCATATCCCTCCTGCTTATCATTAATCCAACTTCCTTCATATGTAGATCCATCAGAATACCAAAATCTACCATGCCCATGAGCTTTGTCATTCAACCAGTCTCCTTCATATGTATCTCCTTCAGCTAATATGAATCTTCCATATCCGTTTGCAAGTCCTTTTTTCCAAAATCCTTCATATTTTGATCCATCAGGCCATATTTAAATTCCATAACCATCCTTTTACTAAGCTTTATTATTGAATTGACCACCATATAGCATTCCGTTACTTTATCTATAGTTAAATACTATCTCTAATTAGCTATTTGATTATTTTTCTTATCGATTTCCAGAAATTGATATTTTCTTAATGCTATCAATACTTGTGTCATTTATTATGGAGAGTGGAGTTGAAGTTCTTGTATTATGTATATTCGTTTCTTATTTACTTTTTATTCGAAATAGTTGTATTGGCCCAATCTTTTTCTCAACATTCCTAACCTTCTTATTTTTGGTTTGTGGGAATAGATTCATATCTGTGAACTGAATATTGCTTGTACCATTGTCCTTAATCATTTTGAATACTTAAAATTATCTCTATGTTTTAAATCTTTTGATAAAAGCTTAAATTTTAATTGCAGCTTGGGCTCTTAATTCTGAAATACTTATCTCAGCCTTCTCATTTTAGCCTGATGATTTCAATGAAAATTACTGTTTTATAATAGGCTTTTTGAATTCAGAGTTATACTGATGCTGATCTATCTATCTTCTAGATGAATTTTCATCTTGGCAATTAGAACAACAATACATTGGATTTTCATATTATTAGCATTAATTTCCCATTTTAAATTGATAAAATAAAATTAATCTGTACTTAACTAATTTTATGTTACTTTATACTCATGGGGTTTTGGGGTTTTGGGGTTTTGGGG